TGTATATATATGTATATATATGTGTATGTATATATATGTATATATATGTGTATGTATATATATGTGTATATATGTATATGTATATATATGTGTATATATGTATATATATGTATATATATGTATATATGTGTGTGTATATATGTATATATATGTATATATGTGTGTGTATATATGTATATATATGTATATATGTGTGTGTATATATGTATATATATGTATATATGTGTGTGTATATATGTATATATGTATGTATGTATGTGTATATATGTATGTATGTATGTGTATATATATATATATATATGTATGTATGTGTATATATATATATATATATGTATGTATATGTATATATGTATTTATATGTATATATGTATTTATATATGTATATATATATATATATATGTGTATATATGTATATATGTATATATGTATTTATATATGTATATATGTATGTATATATGTATTTATATGTATATATGTATTTATATGTATTTATATGTATATATGTATTTATATGTATGTATATGTATATATGTATTTATATGTATGTATGTATATATATATATATATATGTATATATGTATTTATATATGTACATATGTAGATATACATACATATGTGTATATGTATGTATATGTGTGTATATATATATGTGTATGTGTATATATATATGTATATATATGTATATGTGTATGTGTATATGTATGTATATATATATGTATATGTATATATATATAACCCTAACCCTCTCCACAGGAGATTCAAAACATTACCATTTCATTTGGTCACAAAACACAAGGAACTTTCAATGGATCTTTTTTTAAAGAGTTCCTTTGAATGTTGGTTTGTTTTTAACGTGTGACTTTTCCCACTTTGTACTTCTTACAACATCATGAAGACATTTTGAAAAGGGTTTCATTTGAAACACACAAAGCACTAAAGCTGTCTTTCATTTCTCTTTTTCAACAGATGCTCAGAAACCGAAGTAAAGGTCAAAGAAGGAAGCCCAAGCAGTGATGTTATGTGTGGAGATGCTTCAAGACAACGTTACGGCTTGATAGCTGCAATAATATTATTTGCAGTTGTTCTTGGGATCACAGGTTAGTGCTCCTTTTGCATCCCTAATTTGACTGGCTCTGACAACCATCATTTCCTCCGATTCGTTTCTCCTCATTGCCTTTGTTGGGTGTTCACGAATGGTTTTAGCTGATACCTTTCTTGCTTTTGTATTTCAGGCGGACTATTATTGAAAAAAAACATCAGGTACGTTAACTCCATATGCAAATAGTCTCAAACACGCTGCACCACATTAAATTCAACTCAAACGTGTATTAACGTCTTATTTAATGTCTTCTTTTCTTCACCAACGTTTCAATCAATTCATTTTATTTGTCAGATGAAATCGCTCCTTCAATCTGTACATTACAATGAAGCATAGCCTCCTTTTTCCCGTCAGAGCCCTCTGACTGAAGGGCTCCGTCTGGCTCTCCAGGATCCAACCAGCTTTGGGTGAAACAAGGACGTCACAGCGTCAGGGGCTCAGTGGACAGCAGGGTCGTCCTTCACTCAGAGGATCGGCGGTTTGATCCCGGCTCTACTAGTCCATGTCAGTGGGCAAGACACTCTAATTCATTGAGATGCACCTGTACATACAGACATACATGGCACAGCCTTGCAATTCTGTACATTTTAAAAGACAATGCATCACTCTGGTGTTGAGATCAAAAAGATGCTTTATAAACTATTTTGCACTCTTGTTCTATTTTGAATGAATGAATGAAATTTATTTATGGAGCGCTTTTCACAGACATAACATCACAAAGTGCTTAACAGCAGAAATTTAAAAGCATAAAAAACACAATGTGACCCTAGGGTCAATAAATTACATACACAGAATAAAATAAAAAATAAAATAATAAAAATTAAAACATATTTTAAGAGCAGGTCTAGGACATGGGTTTTTTCTCAAACGCCAGCCTAAAAAGGTGGGTTTTGAGCTGTTTTTTAAAAGTATTCACAGTATCTGCGAGGCGTAGAGTTGCAGGCAGAGCATTCCATAGCCTCGGCGCCACTGCCTCAAAGGCTCGGTCACCACGGGTCTTAAATCGTGTGCGAGCGACTGACAGAAGACCTAGAGCGTTTGACCTGAGGGTGCGGGCGGGTGAATATGGGTGAAGTAGATCAGCTACATAAGTATGAGCCTGACCGTGAAGTTCAGTACAATTTAAAATATTTTGGGTTCAAAATATACTTCTTACACTTCTTGAGTATTTACTATCAAAATTTATACTTCTATTTTTTTAACTCCGCTACCTTTGTTTGACAATAATAGATTCTTAACACTAAATATACTAATAATGATGTTTTATTAAGTTTATAGCTAACTATTTTTAAGATGAGCTCCACCTTTACCAGTTGCATTAAAGTAATGAACGCATAAATGCATTAATATGTATAATCCAATGACGCAGGCCTACCATTTGATACTTATACATAGTAGATGTTTTTTACACTGTGCTCTTGTAAATAATTGAAACACAAACCCATTGGTTGTATAAATATGAATGGTGATAACACAGCAAAAGAGTCGCCCTCACAAAGCGTGGTAAACAAGCCGGGCTCCATGTTTCAAGACCAATCGTTGCAGCTGATTGCGCTCTGAGGACAGTCTGAGCCGGTTAAAGCTTTGTTTATAGTCACCGTAGTGACCCAATCCCAGTGTCCTCCTAAAGGCCTTAAACCCTGATCCCTCAGGGACTTATCTGATGTCACCTGTTGAATGGTTGAGTGTGAGAGACTGTGAGGCCGTAAATACGAATGGGACAGCACTTTGCTGCCACATATCCCTTTACAACGTCATAACATGTTATGTACAATCACGGGTATTTATTTAATATTTTTTTACTCCCTGATTTGAACGACCTCCAGGCTCTTTCCTCACAACATGAGAGGTGACTGTCAAACAACCTATTTCATTGACAAAGCAAAACTAAATGAAATGGTTGACAAATAAACCAGTTGAGTAGCCTAATATAATCTCTGCTTGCAATCATCTGAAGAAGTTCTTAAATGATTGTTGAAAGTCTGGCAAAGTGTCAAAACATCATCCAGCCAGACCCCCAATTGAACCGTAATTGTTGTGTGCACCACACCAGCTCCGGCCCTTCAAAGGGTTCATGAGGTTTAAGCCTGCTGGATATGGTTCTGATGGTCTCAGGGTAATTACTTACATGAAAACTATCGTGAAGATGGACAAAGTCCTATGAGATATACAAGGAAACTGAAAGATTCTCTGTAGAACCGCCAAGGTGGGTTCTTGCCATCACCCTCCGAATGTTAAAGAATCCTGAATAGAACCAACAAAGAAACATTACATCATGTAATCACGTGTCATGTTTGTCCCAACCTGTAGAATAAATTAGTTAAACAGTCCTTTTCAACTGTATTGAACAATCCATGTATTATTAGCACTCCTACTATCATTTTACATTTCAAGAATAAATGTTACATTTGAACATTGATTTTTAAGCTTGGCCTCCAGTGGTGGTGTTCTTCCCTTCCACTTGATAAACGGTTGTGAGCAGAAAAATGGGTTGACCCAGAAAGTGGTATCAATAAAATGAAAATGGAGCATGATGATTACAGTGATGTTGGGGTATTTACCCTTTGCATTAATACTTTCTAGAATCATTTCCTTTAACTTGTGGGGGGCTTCAGAGGTCAATTCTCAGACCATTTTATTTTCTTCATGCTCCACTTAGGGCCCTTAATCTGTCAATTTGGTTGTTTTATCATCGCTATGCTGATGATACACAACTCGCACGCTGTTTTTTTTTTTACTCTGTCAAATCACAGGCCTGCTCGTCACCTGAGGAATATAGCAAAACATGTGCCCATTATTATCTATCCATGATTTTGTGTCATCCCACTTACACTACTGTAATGCTCTTTGTTCCTGCCTAAACCAAGACAGTTAGTCCAAAACACAGCAAGGCTACTCAGACCTCATATTGCTCTCACATCACCGTTCTGGTCTCACTTCACTGGCTCCCAATTAAGGATCCATGTCAAGATCTCCCTCCTCATCTATACGGCTTTGAATAGTCTTGCTCCAGAATGTATCAGTGATCTACACAGGTCATGTACCTCTGCTCGGCCTCTCAGACTTGCGGTGACTGTGTCTTTTGTCCTGTGTCTCAGGCTGTGGACCAGTGTCCCCTGGGAGCCAGGTCAGCAGACTCTGTTGGGTGTTTTAAGTCGCAGCTGAAGACCTATCTTTTCTCTGTGTTTTTGTGCTTTAGACATGTACTCTTTTTTTGTGCTGTGATGTTTCTTTTGTTTTGTTTTTCTCTGGCTATTTTCTCCTGTTCGTGTTGCACTCATATTTTGTTCTTTTAATAGATAATACATGTGTCCTTTTGTAAGGCACTTTGTAACCTATGTTTGGAAAGGTGCTTTATAAATAAAATAATTACTTTTCTTTCTTACAATATTAGCTTCCTGAGGAGAACTGGACTGATGAGGAAATGTGACACACTGTAGGAGTTAACTCACTCCACAAGGTGTCAGTAGTGATTCATTAAGGACGCAGAGCTACCGTTAAAACCCCAAAGAAGAAGTGGATGCAAACATGTCATTTCCGGGATGCGATACCATCGTTTTCTCTCAACACTGACGCTGCGATATAAAGCTACGTTTGTTACATATTTAATTGAGACGTTTCTCGGCTTAGAAGAGCGTTATGTGTATAAGGTGATAACGTAAGTCGACCGCGCGCCTCCTACGCCATTAAAATGAAGAAGAAGAGCTCCGAGAAAAGACGCCATGTGGTGGCATGGGCCAACAAAGCTGAGTGGGATCAGGTCCTGGAGTATCTCTACTCGAAGGACTCCGCCTTACAGAGGTTTGCCCTGAAAAGGATATCAGCGTGGAGAGGCAGGTACGCCAACAGCACTCCCGTGGCGGTGGACTGCACAGCGGACCTGGTGAGGTGCCAGGTGCTGGACAGGTCGGGACAACTGGACGGAGAGGATCTGGTCTTGCTTTACGGAGCGGGCCTGGTCAGGTTTGTCAATTTGATCACCGAGCGACAGCAGGGGAGAACAGCCCGTCCTCTGAGGCGGCTGGCTGGGAACCTGAACATCCCAGAGTGGGTCGTAGACCTGAGGCATGACATGACGCACAGGAAGCTTCCAACCTTAAAATGGTGTCGAAAGGGATGTAAGGTGGTTCTGGAGTGGCTCCAGCAGGAATACTGGTCCAGGCAGTTGGGAGGAGGACCTAATGAGGACTGGGAGTCGGAGTCGGATGGAGAGGATGAAGAGGTAGACCTGAAACGCCAAGGGGACGAGCTCATCGCAAGGCAGAAAGAGATGGAATCCTACAAGAATGCCCGGGAGCTTCTGATCTCGTTTGAAAAGGAGCAGTACCAGGCTTTTGATAGACTCCCTGAGGACAAAGGGAAGAACTTGTGGCCAGCCCCGTTTGCAGATATGAGCTGGTTACTAGGTGAGATCAAGCAGTTTGCTTTGCAGTCAGGTCATCTGCTGATTGATGTGTTGCTGGAAGACGGATTTCTAGTTCCGACTGCGGAACAACTGGAAACGTTGGGCTGCGGCGCCTCTGACAGCGCCAGTGCCCCTGAACCCAGACTCGCTCAAGCCTTCCTGCGTTTTTGGCTGCCACTCCTGAAGATGCTCAACTCTCCGCCCTTTATTCACCTCCTCCTGGAGAAGCTGTTTGTTGAGCTGAAACTGCTCGCCAAAGAGCAGAATACTCACAGGGCTTTCTACGTCTCTGCATGGATTTCAGAAATCATCGTCTGCAACAGCAACAAATTTGAATACCACTTTGAAACAAAGGGGCAGAAGAAGGCTAGAATGAAGGACAGGGTCTTTGTAAACCGCATCCAGCTGAGGTGGCAGCAGCTGCTCTCAGCATGCCTGGATGCTCCCTGTGTCAGCACGCCTCACTTGCTCCAGTTGATCCTGGACGACATGGAGCATCCCCTCCCTCTGGAAACCCGACAGAGGCTGCTCCAGCTCTGCTCCATCTACACACAGGGTGTACACTCGGAGTCCGACACGGCTCCACGGCGGAAACAACAGCCCATATACACACTGGAGAGCTTGCACGAGAAGCTGCAGCATTCGCGGCACCTCAGCCATCCTTGGCGTTCGGCGGCCGAGGCGGAGAGGAGCGAGTCCTCCCAGGAGTACAAATGGGCGGATGTTCAGGCTGAAAAGGCCAGATTGCTCAGAGGCTCTCCGTGGCAGCTGTGCCACGATAAGGTGTTGTGGAAGAACTATCCTTTCGGTAAAGTCCCCGGACAGTCTGATGACCCTTCGCGCCTCATGGTGGAAAACTACTCAACGATGACCGTCTTTGACCAGCCGGTGGAGTTGGAGAGCAACACAGCGCACAACGTCCCAGGAGTCTTGGCACAAGTGAGAAGAGCTGACGGCCTTCTTTGGAACCACAGTGACGTCAATATGCTGAAATCTGGACTGCAACTTTTTTGAGTTGTTATAAAGCTTTGAAATAAATGTTCCAGATTGTTTTGACACATAGATAAAAGAAACATGCTCAAAATAGGTCAACTTCAGTACTAAGCAGAGTTTGGTGAGGGATGAAATATGTAAAGCAGTTGATTCATTGATTTGTCGAACGACATAAATGTCATTTATCGGCGTCTTTCACCAGTCGCTGGTTCCAGCTTCTTAAGTGATAAATTGCTACTTTTCTGATTTTATGTCATTATGGATAAAAATGAATGATTTTTTTTTTTTTTAATCAATTAATGAAATGTCAGAAGTGAAAAACAGTCCATATAGTTTTCCAGAGACCTCTTCAACTAACTTCCAGCCCAAAACTTTTTTTCCGCTCAAGTTTCTGACATTTTATAGACTAAAAAGATTCATATATTAATTAAAAACCAATCAGCAGAATAGTTAATATGGAAAACAAGAGGTGGTTGAAGCCCTAATCTAAAAGCATTCGTAAAAGCCTTCATGTTGTCGACAATATTTTATATATTAGGTGGTTAAGAAAAAAGCAGACATTTGACACATCATACATTATAAATAGAATAATGTCAGATTGATATGGTTCATTCATATGATGGTGTACAGTGAGGTTTTGTTTTTCTTCCACCTGTGATACAAGTGAACTTGAGCAGAGTTGATGCAGTTGTCGGCCCTACAAAGGGTTTTGGAGTAGACGCCTTTCAGTTGAAAACCCTGGCAGAGGGAATAAGCACAAGGTGGTTTTGTGTAATACATTTTCTTTTGTGCACTAATGGTCAATAAAACAGTTTCCTATCAAAGGAATGTGATTGTGTTGTTTTTGAGTGTAAGATTCATGAAACATTTGAAAAGTAAGTCTACTGTGGAGAACAGCTAATGGCGTGAGCAGACACTGTTCAGAAGGCCTTCAGACTGAAAGCAGCACTAAAGTGAAGGAAACTTCTCATCTTTGTTCTGTTAGATAACTTAACACACACAACTTAAGACACAGCTAACTTCGCAGAATTAGGACAAATACGTTAAATGTACAAAAGTGCAAATTTTAAAAATACAATTTAAACAATATAACAGGTTATATTCTAAGCATTATATGGTGACCTGAAAAATATACACCCCTGTATAAAATGTGATGCAACACAACAGTCATGTAACAAATACTTTACTTTTTGGACTCTGTTAGAGAGGCGTTGGTATAGCTGGTCATTATCACTGCGCCACATTAACATGCACTTGTCCACTCGCGACCAAGTTCTGTAGGACTTTTATTTTTTGATAACTTGGCCGGAAGTGTCTTCGCAGAGCTGCTTCCCGTCCGGAGCCATTGTCCTCCGTTTTTCAAGCTATGAGCGGTTGAGAAAACACTCAGTTACCAGCGCCGTTTCTTCGACTGACTGTTGCAGTAGTTTATAATTTCATTAGTGTTTAAGGCTATTCAACGGGACGGTAAGTTGTTGGTTGGAGAAGTGGCGGTAAAATATGCTGCGTCATTAAGTACGCTAGTTGTGTTGGTTAACGCCTCATGGCTTTAGTCGACGTTAACGTTAGCTGAGTTAGCTTGAACGAAAACCGAGCGAGCACTTGTTAGTTAGCTAAATGCGTTCACGTTAACTAATTGACTGAGAAGAAATGTCAATGTGGGTAAATAAGACTTTAACTTTTTGTTTTAATGCACCAGAACACACTGGTGTCGACATACGTTGAATACTGTCAACTAGCGTTAACGTTTGCAAGTTGCTAAAGCTTCTAGGACAATTGCGGCCTAGATGGAAAGCTTAACTTACGAATATCATTTGTCATTTTTTGTTTATTGACCTAATACGCATAGTATTTTAACAGTGGTGGAATTATGCATAGTGAGGTAAGTTATGTGTGACGGTGCATTATTGTAAAACTCCGGATAGTGCTAACGTTAGGTACCAATGCTATCTATCCTGAGTCAGTTACGTTGGTAATACGTTTAGCCAACACGCACCGTCGCTATTTCTTAGCCTGTAAGAAAATGGAGAATGTCTGGAGTAAAGTAAATATGTCACTGTCTAAAAGATAACGTTACCACAGTTAAACAGAGCCAACTCAATGGTAGAAATGTTGAAAACACAATTAGTACGTCCATTAAGTGTCAAGTATGGCAAATACTTTTACTACTCAGTCCACACTGAGCTATAGCTTTCTCCTTAGGGAAAACGTATCACTTTTACAGTGACTGAAATTGGTATCAAAATAATACATTTCCCTGATAAATGAATGGGCTATTTGCTGCACGATTACACACTCACAGTATATTTTGTTGTCTCCAAAGGTGAGGAATCTCAGGTGATATTCTGGACAGCTTCCTTGCAGTCTGACTGTCAAACCACAATGATCACAAGAAGAAGACGCACTATGAACAACGCAGCGCTTCAGCCTCTGGAGGTTGAAGTGGTGGAAACTGTCGAAGATTTCTCAAGTCCATCTGAGGGTTTCCCATCTGATGATATGGACACCACTGGACTAGAGCTAGATGACCTGTTTGGAATGGAAGACTTAAAATGGACACTTGAAAGAGATACTGCCTCCTCGCTCTTTGATATTGAGTTGGCTGATCTTGGTTTGAGTGCTAAAGACCAAGATTCCGAGATTGAGGCTTCAACGGCATCATCTCCAGATAGAATGTCATCTGACTCGAGGATGAAGAAGAGGCAAAGCCAGTCAAGCCACATGATCAACAAAAACGCTGTTGCTGCCAGATTGAATCGTCTCAGGAAGAAAGAATATGTCAACAGCTTGGAGAAGAAAGTTGGCATCGTGTCAACAGAAAACAATGTACTCCGACAGGAAAATTCTCAACTGACGAAGAGAGTGGAAGAGTTGGAAGATGAGACCAGGTACTTGAGGGCTGTGCTGGCCAATGAGAGCATGTTAGCCCAGCTCTTGTCCAGGCTGAGCGGTGTGAATGGGATGAAATTATCTTCCTCGCTTTTCCAGGGGCCTGACTCGAACGACCACGACTACGCCTTGCCCAGAAAGCGTGTGAAAGTGGAGGAGAAAGAGACAGCGGGTGGCGTGTGTCTGCACGTGGACAAGAACCACGTCTCAGTTGAGTTCTGCACCAAGTGTGCAGAGAGTGCAAGCACATCGCTCAGAATGTAGGGTCAAGTACTTACCTCTGTTTTCAGATATTGAGACTGAACTTGATATGGCTCTTTACCGAACTTCTTGAGGGTGGATGAACACTGTTGAATTAGTTAAGATTACCTAAGAACTGCTGAATGTGCATGTGTTTCATTGTGATGATGGATTGAGTACACGTTACTGCTAAACCTTGTTGACAGTTTCTTCTAGGTAGTGGTTGATGCACCATGCGGGATGAGTGGCTTTCTGAACACCTTTACCTCCCTGACTCCATGGTAAGGATCAGACAAGAACAGACGTTTTTGTAGTTGTTTTTCACAGGCCTGAGGTGATGAGCGGAAACCTTAGTACTTCTGTTTTGATACAGTTCTTCTTCCCAGTTAGTGGATTTTGAGTACTTAAATGATTTATTTTATTTACAGTTTGTTGTTGTAGGAAATTGTTTGATTGTAAATCTTAGAGTTAAATTAACATATCCTGAATACTAAGATGTTAAGATAACGGTGAAGCTCCACAAAGAGAGATCCTGTATCAGCTGTCAAATTGGAAATGCTAAAAATGACAAGACTGTAAATATTTCCTTTTGGTAAGAATTGATCTCTTTGTGAACCGGCACCATTGTACAAAAGAATGCTTTCATTTAGCGCCACCTATTTTTCTTTATGCTAAAGTGGATTCTGCTGGTGGAAGGTGAAGAGACTGGACAAGCTGCTGCCAACGTGGCCTGGTATTTTTTTAAAGGTAGTATCGGTAACAAATGGTATGCGTGATCATATTTTATTCTCAACATCTGTAGCTCATGCAGCATTTCTGGGAGCTTGACCACAGCTGCTCCATTACTCATGATGTGATGCCATCAAAGACTTAATAGTCTCATAATTATGTCTTGTATACATTGACTTGCTGGAATTATATTAAGTAAATACATCCAAAAGTATCTGATTTAAGTGGTGAAATTGCCATCTTTGTGTACCTAAATGTAAATGTCTATATAATTTGAATACATATTGTTTGAGGCAAATGACCTTCATGTTGGACAAATAAATCATATTTTCATTATGTTTGAGTTACTAATATCTACTGTGTCTTGTTCTGTACTGTTGATATTAATGCATCTCTTTTTCTCTTTCTAAACAGCAAGCTCTCTGCCGATAATGGTCTTACTTTTCCTGAACATTTGGGTCAAGTCTGGTAAAGGTTGTCAAAACAAATGACCGAGACCTCATTTGATGGAAGTACAAAGCAATGCAGTATGCGGGGACCCACAGGGAGTACTCGTTCTGCCCATGATTTAGCACATTTATTTCAAACCATAGATGCATATATCAGTCATTTTTCAATGCTGTTTTACATTTGATAATAGACGAGTTTCATTGCAGTCATTTAATGTGTCCTAGCGGAAAAGCACATGTGAAATTGACAATGGTGGCTCAGTTCTAGTAAGTGTCCCAGTAAGCTATTCCAATGAGCCAGCACAAACAATACCAGGACCTCCTTCAGTAGAATGCAGCCATCATTAAAGGGATAGTTCAGATTTTTTTGATGTACTTTATACTGTGTACCTACAGTAGATGGTGGTTGAAGTCCCCATTTTGAGGAACCCGGCAGTAGTACCAGCACAGAAGCAAAGCAACGTACTGCTGTTTAGAATCTTTTCACTGCTTTAGCTTGCTGTCAAACGAACCAGCAACTCCTGTGTTCTGTGAGATAACATTACTGTTTCTGTCGGTGGAGTCTTGTGAGTTAAAGAGAGCACAGATGGACATAACGGCTTCAGTGCCTTACTAGACAGGAGGATTTTGACAGCAAGGTATAGCAGGAAAATGTTCTAAATATAATGTACACGTACACTGTTTTTTTTAGGTGTCTAAAATACATCACAGCAGTACATTGCTCCTCTCTGTTTCTCCAAACTCCATCTACTGTAGTAACACCGAGTATGAAGAAGTAGCTCATACAGCCACACTTCTAAACATCTGAACTATCACTTTAATATTATTAAATACACCTGCACCGTTTCTACCACGACAAGTCAAAAATATCGACTGAAAAAAGGCTAGTATAATTAATATCTGATGGGGGGGCTTTCATGAGCTGGATCAGTCTGCTTAAGCTGCGTCATGCGTGGAAAGCCTTGATGGTGTGTGTTTCCGGTCCTGTAGGGAACCTGAGCCCCTTGGAGCAGACTGAGTGAGTTTGCTAGTCATGTTAGTAAGCATCCAAGGTGAGCGACACGCTCAAGTCTGCGAAGCCATGAAGCCCCGCCCCCTGCTGCTACACAGAGCGTTGTTCACTTGTTTATTCAAAGTTTATCAATTTTGAACATTTCACGTGACCAAATTTGACTCCCTTGGGTCCCCAGCAAAACACCCACCAAGTGTGAGGTAGATGAGATGAGCAGTTCTCGAGTTACAGATCGATTCCTCACTTTGTAGTTGGACAGTTGAGAGCATGTACTGTTCTAAAGTCTCCCAGGGTGGTGCTTTAGTCCAGCTATGAATGAACAGTTCTGCATTTTGGGGAAAAGGCTTATTTGCTTCCATGTTGACAGATGGTCAGATCTATACCACTCTCGTGTCTATGTTAGAATGAGGCTACAGCCAGTTAGCTGAGTTTAGCATGAAGACTGAGTGAGGATCCCTACCAGCACCTTTTAAAGCTCACTAACACATTATCCTGTTTGTTGGGTTCATGGAGACACAGAGATGTAAAACCAGCAAATTGTGGCAACCAGGAGAGACTGAAAAGTTACTGCATGCAGACAAGACGTAATTGTGCACATAACTCCTCACACCACCATAAATTAACAATTTCTTTTTTAGTTTTTGTACAAATTAGACAATAAGATGTAAAATGAGTGAATTAGTTGCTGGTAGTCTGATTTTGTTAGCTTAGTACAAAGCCTGGCTAGCTGTTTCCATTATTTTTGCTAAACTTAAGGTTAGGAACTCTCAGCAAGAAATCAAATAAGTCTAATGACCATTAACAGCTGAACGAGAACCATGAATTTGCTTGTGTCAAAGGGAAATTATCATTTTACTTACGTGCTCATTTCATCGTCGTAGATTTGCGGTAACAATGCATATTTTTGGAGATCGATAAGCTTGTCAAAAAGCTGAATCTTTAAAGCAAACTAATAGTAACACTGATGCTTTTAGTCCCCCTGTTAATCATTCTATAATGAGGTATAACACATTAGGATGTAGGACATTTAAAATGTGCATTAATGTCCAGCATTTGTCAAGTATGACTTCTATGAAGACATTTGACTATGTTGTCATTATCTGTTTATAGAGCAGCCTTATCTTATGTGGGCTGTAAGGAGGAGCTTTAGTTGACAAATGTATTAATATACACATCTGCCATCAAATGCATGAGTGTAATAAACCATTTATTAGGTTATTTTTTACAGATTGTAAATGTCAAATGGTGAGTAAAGTGTTGCGGTAATACTGGTAGAAAGTTAAATACTGTAGTTGTAAATGTGCACATGCAATCAAGACAACGGATTGATGCATCTTGTTTTATAAATATATCAGACAGGAGATGTTGACATCCCTCTGCAGTTGGACAAGCACAACGCTTCTTTCTCAGATTCCATCTTTTCCCTGCTCCTGATAAACGAGAGCAGAGCCAACATGTCTGCAATCTCCTGGAACCCCACAACACAGCAGTCTGCTTTCGTATTAAAGCACAGCATGCCGCTCGCAACCCTGTGACTCATTGACTTCATTAAAGAAGAGTTTAGGTGTCTGCAAGTGGAGAACAGAACTAAATACATTTAAAAACAACCTGTGTTATGGCAAGCTGACACTCCTAGGTGTCAGACTTGGAGTACGTGGGCTAAAACCTGCCCAAACAGTTTTACTGCTTCACTTTTCTGTCAGACAAACTGAAGCTGTTATCTATGCTGGCTGAAGCTGCAGGACTCCTCTGACAAACACTTTGGTGTTTTAAAGAGTTCAGACTGACCAAAGTCACACAACCACACTAACTAACCGATGGAGGCCGCAGTAGACCACCTGTGAGGTGAAATGTCAAAGGAGTCTTGTGGCTTTAAAGAGAACATGGATAACTGACCGCAAGGTAACGTGTTGAAAAGATTCGAAATATAGCGTACACTTAGTAGTTTATGTGTTAGAGCAAGATACAATGTACACAGATGAACTGAAAAGAGAAGAGGGTGACACAAGAGAACCCTCAGTGATTCCAAACTATGACGGTAGTGCAGAGGAAGTGATTCACATAGAAGTGTGTTTAGAAGTGATTTCCTCATGCAGTATGTTCCAAAGTACCGGCGCCCTAAGTGAGAAAGCACAGTCCCCTTTAGTTTGGAACCTGACCCGTTGGAAAAACCAAATGGACCCAGTCTGAAGAGCTCTGGCTCACCTCGGAGTCAAACGGTTTGCATTATATAGTAGTTAGGTGCTAACCCTTCCTGTAAACAGTCAACTCTTTCAATTCAATCTCTTTAGAATTGAAAAACCCTAATGGAACTGAAATATGTTTGTTTGTGGCCTAAAAATGTTTAAGAAAAATGTGATGTTGCTTGTAAAGGACAGGCATCACTCCTACTGATGGTGTTTATTTGATCACATAAACATACCCAGGGTTATTAGTTCCACTTGTGCTTTTCCTGGTATGACAAGTCGAGATCCTCATCCAAGCCTCCATTCATTCATCCTCTTATCTCAAAGGGAGATGACTAGACTGAATCAAATCAGCTACAACACATCCCACAAATGCTGATTCCCAGACACAGTCAATACTTAGGAAAACATGTTCATATCTTTGTATTTCCAACTGTCACAATCACCACCGATATCCTTCTATGGACTCTCTGGTCAGAGAGGTGTGCAGCCTCACCTTTAAAAGCATGACTTAAAGACGGACTAGTACTTCATGAACTATCAGGAACACAACAACTAATAGTGTCAGAGTTATTAATGATGACACGTCTTCTTCACAGTGTGCATTTACACGGGACAGGCCACAAAACTGACCAGTCACGGCAGCACACATCCGTCTTTAAATCTGATATGATGTATTAAAGGAAACATATGCTATTTTCCAGGTTTATACTTATATTTTGGGTTTCTACTATAACATATTTACACGCTTTAATGTCCAAAAAACTTTGTGTATTTCTTTAACGTTTCAATACTTTCACAGTATTTATATCGTACTTAGACCTGCTTTATAATGAAACAGACTTGTAGAGTTTACATTTCACAATGTGGAACCTTGAACCATTTGTTGCTGTTAAATCATTCATCCTTGTGACCTGTCAGATCACTGCCAGTTTTGTGTTCTGTCCCTTTAACTGCAGACTTACCTTTGAAGGAGACGTGAACATCATTAATAAGATACCTTGGTTGTTGCATAAATTAACGGACTGTTCTTGCATCAACTCAATTACAGATACTCTGTGCATTCCTGAAGTACTAGCCTACATGCATTAGTGCATGCTTTTTCACGACTTCATTATAATTCATGCACCCTTACCCTTCCAGTGAAGAAAAAACTCCACAGTGGCCTTAAAATTCAGAAAAGGTGATGCAGTGCCATGCATGCTGCTCTACATGCTAGAAGACGTGCCTGTGAGGCATGTTAGTCAGAATAAACTCTGCCTCTCTTTCAAAACAAAAACGACCAAGTGTCACTTTTCCAGAGGTTTCAAACGTACGTAGTCTTGCATCATTGTGAACAAACAACACAGGACCACACAGACTTTGTCAAAGTTATTATTGTAGAATACTTTGATGTATTTTTTCTTTCATACAGATAAAAGGTGTTGGACTTAATTCCCATTAAATTCTCTTAGATTTCCATACAGATTTAGTCTACAGTATACAGGTGTGTTCTTTCTCATATATAGATATTTATTCGCTTAAATAACAGGCAGGTAACTCTTTAATATATTCAATAGTCTTTATGTTTTGTTGTCGTTTTTTTTTTGGTCTTTTTTCATTTCAGCACAGTTAAGGCTGCATTTTCTGTCTGCAGAACAGCACTGCGTTGTGCAAGAAGGGGGACCATTCCACACACAATATTTACAACAGTATGTATAATGAATAATGTAAAACGTTAATTTCCCCCCATCATTACATGGCAGTAAATACTTGTAGCAGATCTAAAAGAGCAGCCTAAACAATGCACGGATGCATTGCACTTCTGCAGTCTCTAGCTCTGCATCACCCTCCAGTTTTCCATCCTCCCTGGGTCTCCACTTTGTCCAGTCCTTTAGATCATAATGAGGTACATCTATATCTCCTGTTCCCTATTTACAGAGTGGTGTCTCTGGTCTTAAGAGACGATAAGCATCTCCACACCTCTGCACACTTCAGGGGCTGTTCAATGGACAGAAAACACAGCCCTCAGAATATGCTCAGGAGAATGTGCAACTGTCTTTGTCCATCAGTGGGAGCACCGATGGAGAAAATCTAAAATAATCATAATATACAAGCGCTTCCATTTTGTCCTCTCTTTACAGAAAGCAATAGGATCAAAAGAAAGAAACATCCCCTAAAAAAAGCAAAAAAAAACAAAGTGTAACAGGAACATAGTACCTGTAAATCAAAGATGCACATGTGCACATTTGGGCGATCTGTACAGTAGTGGTGCAGTTGTACAATTTATAGTTTTGATAAATATAATATATTCTTTTTCACATTGTGTTTTGCCTTCTGTGAAACGGTCTCACAACATCATGATGTAACGTGGCTGGACGGATGGACAGAGATGGCTGAAACTGGACAGTCAAATTTACACCACTGTAGAGTATTAGCCTGTTGTTCGCTGTGTGTGTGTGTGTGTGTTTTCAGAAAGCATTGATAGAGCTGTGCTAAGAGGTGCTGAAGTAGAGTAGGTTGGACTTGAACAGAATATGTGTGTGTGTGTGTGTGAGAGAGGAAGAGAGCAGATGTGGAGTGATCATAGCACACAGTAGTGACAGTTGCCTAAATGATTTACCAACACATAAAGAGTGACATTAATGATACCAAATGCATGCTTCAAAACAGACAGACCAATACAATGTCACCACCGGCCCACGACGAAAGGGTGGTGGCGATGATGATGATGGGCATTCAAGAAGACAGGGTTCTGTACAGGTGAGGGTGTTCCCAGAGAGCCCTGCTCCATCCTCAAACAGAACCAGCAGGACGGACATGTTCTCTCACTGTGTTTGCATGAGTCGTCATCTTTGTAAGACTTCCTATCCTACGTCTGGGGACAGCTGTTGACATGGCAGTCTGTTTGCATATTGTCTGCCATTGCCTTTCTGTGGTGGTGGGACCAGCTGATAACTCGGGGAGATCAACGGGGGTTAACCAAGGGACGGGGACGGGGGGAGTCATGCTCCGAGGCAACATGGAAGTCAGCGGTTCACCCACACCTAGTGCAACATGGGATACAGGAGGGCACTCGCACACCCGGTCTGGAATGTGATGCGGCTGTTTGGAATGTATGTTCTATGGAATGTTGAGGTCGGTGGAATGTTATGTCACTAGGGCCATTGTCACGGGAGGGGGGATATCCATCCAAATGTGATCCCCCCCCCCCCCCCTTTTTTTTGTTGGAGTGTGCTCATGCAGCATTATGCCCCGTTTTACATTGGGACAAATATGTCTTAAAGCAATGCTGTAACATTTTGGGAAATACGCTTATTGGCTTTCTTTCTGAGAAGATTGATACCTCTCACATATCTGTCCATTCAAGGTGAAGCTGAGGTGTTAGCTTAGCAGAAATACTGGTAAAAGGGGTAAACAGCCATCCTGTCTCTGTCCAAAAGAAAAAACATCCTTCTACTAGTATCTAATATAATAGCACCTGTGTTCATTATGTCTCCGGACCGAAGAGATTATATTTGACTTTTGGAAATGAAATTCAAGACTTTTTAATACCTCCTAAGGCTATTCATTTAGGAAACTGAATTCAATGCTTTTTAAAACTTTTCAAGAACTGTAGATACCATGTGTAGGTACAGATCAACCTAATGAGATATACTGCTTTAATTAGTTAGCTTTAGAGGTGCTGTAGGCTGCTTTTGTTTTACTTCTGAAAGAGCCAGGGAAGCTGTTTCCAGTCTTTATGCTAAGCTAGGCTAACCCACTGTAGCATACTTAGCGTGCAGACATGAAAATCGTACCAATCTCCTCACGTGACTCCCAGCAGGAAAGCGACTACGTGTATTGTCTGAGTGTTCCTTTAAAGTTTCTCAAACAGCTAACAGAACATCACAATGACGGGGAATGCACAATAGTTGACAAATGGACACATGAGCTCTCATTGGTTGTACCTGATTGAGTGGGGCTTTGGGCCTAAAGCTAAAGCTGAACACTGACATACGACATATGGGCCTGACAGCTCGAGTGATCGGTTGCTTCTAAACATCAAACAGAGACCCCCCCCCCCTCACTCTGTAAAAATGACTGGATCCAACGTCCAACAATCCAAACAATCTCTTTGTCCACACAACTCTTGGAGAGGGCACTGGTACATGATGGAGACGACACGATGGCACGTGAGCGGGGCAGGTTGTAAGTGATTGCATGTTAAGTCTTAAAGGGCCATCGCCTGTGCATTGTGTGTTTGATGGCATTTAAAGGGTTAATGCTTCCAAAAAATAAAGCTGGCACACACACACCAATCAAAGACCTGAAAGGACGAGACAGGACAAAGGAAATGACAAAATGGCTTGAGGAACAGCAAGAGAGAAGGTGATGGAAGCCTAACAGAAGTGAAGTGGAAGAAAATGACCAAATGCATACTCATCAGTTCATCAGCATTGGCAGGAGGCTGTAATGGAAGTTAGTCCGGTACGGGGCTAATGTATGTATACACATGTACACGGCACACACACTGGATCATCTCATGGCAGGATGGACACTATTACAGAAAACAGGTCATGTGGATTTATGGGGGGCGGCATTCAAGGACTGGGCAGGTTGGGCTGCAGAAAGAACAGAGATGAACATGACGAGTTCTGTGCTGTCGCCTCCCAAACATACAAATTATATATATATATACATATATACATACATATATATGTATATATATGTATATATACATATATATGTACATATATATATGTACATATATGTATAT